AAAGTTGAGAGGATGTAGATACAGAGTTCAAAGTTGAGAAATGTTGTTTTACATACTTAAATACATGAGAGTGATTTTTTCAGTAGCCAAATTTTAGCATAAGAATGAAGTTATGTCTAAATTTGTGTCACACTTTAAATGCACAGATTCAGTTTACGCTCAGGTCTGTGATGACCTGAGTGATGACCATATTCAAGTTAGACAAAGGGTTCAAACGTGTATCTTAACAACTGAAAATATTTATAATTCAGTGAACACTAGGATTGAAATATAAATTTATTTTTAATTTTGAATGCAACTTGGACTGTTTGAAATGTGTAGGTGGTATTCTGATTTTTCTCATTTTTCTGAATTGTCATTTAAAGACCTTTCTCTATTAATTTTATAATCTGCAAGAATATATCATGTTACGTACTGTATCATAAGTCCTTGTGCTACACACAGTACATTTGGCTGGCATCAGCATGGGTGCCTTTCCTGTTTTCTTATAAAGTGACATTACTTAATAAAACAATGTTGACTATAAGAGCATAAAATACAAGACAGAGGTTTAGAAAGGCAGATAAAGCTGACTCAAAGTGGGTGCAAAACTGGTGGAAAAATCCATGTATGCACAAAGATACAGCAAGCTTATTGCATATTACTCGCACACAAAGGCTGCTATTCTGTAATAAAATACTGGGGAACTAGGGAACGTAAGAACTTGTTTATCAGAAAAACTCAGGGCCCCTATAATCCAAACCAGCAGATTTTGACTAAACCAAAGGATGGAGAATTTGTAGACAACATTTCAGAATTCAGTTTGAATCAAAAAGCAGAAAGGAATTACTTTAGAAAAAAAAGCCCTCCCCTAAACAAAACCATTAACAATAATATCCAGAACTCTTAATAGCTATAAAGAACAAAGTTTCACACAGACCTCCTGTATTCATAGTTCTGTAAAGCATAAATTTCTTTTTTACTTCATGAGACCAGTTATTCTTCTCTACCACCAGGTCAGGTTGTTAGCATTTAATTGTACCATCATCTTGGGGTGGGGGGAGCAAAGCATTTTACAAAAGTCTGAAAAGCAGTGACAAATCAGACAATAACCTCTATAACCTTGTGAAATCTATCTAAAATACTAGCTACAGAAGCAAGCATCATCTTCACTATAGTGTGGAGAAAACAGATCAGTAGTTTGTGGGATCTTTCAAGCTTTTCACAGCAGGTATAGAAGAGGAGACTTATGTTTCAAGTCAGTACATAAAAAAGGAAGTTGGCCTTGGGCTGTGTAGAGATCGTTAGCAGTTTAATTTTATAAAGTGAAATCACATGAAATCATACTGTCAATTTACAAAACCATTTTCTCAATCTCGCTCTACCACAAAATGGGTTGTATTCATTATTGCTTAATTAGCATCAGTTTGAATTAATGAATCTGTTTGTATTTCTTTAAAAATAGTATTTGTTGGATAGCCAAAATAAATAGAGTTTTGACTTGGAAACATGTAAGTTCTTCCTGTTGTATACAGGGCAATTTCTACACTGACATAGTGAATAATAATAATAATAATAATAGAGTTCAGTGTGATTATTTTCGTAGAATCACAGAATGGTTTGGGTTGGAAGAGACCTTAAAGATCATCTAGTTCCAACCCCCCCTGCCATCAGCAGGGACACCTTCCACTAGA